GGGGGAATAGCAGCAACTGACCCTGTTGGGAGCCAAGGCGAGCCTGACTGGGAAGGAGTGGCAGAAACATCCTGTTGTGACCGGCCCAGAGGCCCCGTGTATTCTGGGCACAGACTTCTTCCAGAACAGCTATTGCAAAGACCCAAAGGGACTCAGGTGTGCTTTTGGAATAGCTGCTGTAGAGGCTGAGAACATTAAGCAGTTGAACACCTTGCCTGGACTATCAGAAAACCCATCTGCAGTAGGATTCCTGAAGGTGGAAGAGCAACAAGTGCCAATTGCCACCTTGACGGTGCACCGCCAGCAGTATTGAATGAATCAAGATGCTGTGATCCCCATCCACAAAATGATCCATGAACTGGAGAGCCAAGGGGTGGTCAGCAAAACCCACTCACCCTTCAACAGCCCCATCTGGCCTGTGCCTAAATCTGACAGAGCACAGAGATTGACCGTGGACTATCGTGCCTGGAATGAAGTGACTCCACCGCTGAGCGCTGCTGTGCCGGACATGCTGGAACTCCAGTACAAGCTGCAGTCCAAGGCAGCAAAGTGGTACGCCACTGTTGACATTGCTAATGTGTTTTTCTCCATTCCTCTGGCAGCAGAATGCAGGCCTCAGTTTGCTTTCACCTGGAGGGGCGTGCAGTACACCTGGAACCGACTGTCCCGGTGATGGAAACACAGCCCCATCTGCCATGGACTGATCCAGGCGGTACTGGAAAAGGATGAAGCTCCAGAACACCTGCAGTACATCGATGACATCATTGTGTGGGGGAGCACAGCAACCGAAGTATTTGAGAAAGGAAAGAGGATCATCCAGATTCTGCTAAAAGCCAGCTTCACCATCAAGAAGAGCAAAGTCAAGGGACCTGTCCAAGAGATCCAGTTCCTGGGAGTAAAGTGGCAAGATGGATGGCGTCAGATTCCCACTGAGGTCATCAACAAGACCACAACAATGTCTCCACCAACCAGCAAGAAGAAAACACTTTCCTAGGTGCCATAGTGTGGATATTCTCAGTTCAGTTGAAGAGAGAACAGAGACAATTTCTCCCAGGCAGAGCCTGGAATCTTAGACGAAAGAATTCAAACAATTATTATCTCTTTGTAATCATTGTTTATCCTTATGGTTCTTTACAGCATGCTATTCATAGTCACAAATAATGTGAGACGTTTTCTACTTTGAGACCAATCCAGTCCCATCTAGTGAGTGAGACTTTAAAAACTCACTGCTTCTTGTTAATAAAGATTCTTCTTAAGCCTTCTGATCCACCTGAAGACTGGAATCTTTCTTTCCGTCCCTGACTCAACAGTGTCACCATAGGATTTTGGAGAATGCACATTCCCAAGTACAGCCAGATCACGAGCCCTCTCTACCTGGGCACCCACAAGTATGATTTCCACTGGGGCCCTGAACAGCAACAAGCCTTTGCCCAGATCAAGCAGGATCATGCGGTTGCACTTGACCCAGTCAGGATGGGACCAGAGGTGAAGAATGTGCTCTGCTCTGCGTCTGGGAACAATGGCTTGTCCTGGAGCCTTTGGCAGAAGCTGCCTGGGGAGACTCAAGGCCGATCACTGGGATTCTGGAGCCAAAGTTACAGAGGGTCCAAAGCCAACTACACTCCCACAGAGAAGAAATCTTGGCCACCTGTGAAGGAGTCCAAGCCGCCTCGGAGGTGACTGGCACAGAAGCACAACTCCTCCTGGCAGCGTGACTACCGGTGCTGTAGGGGATGCTTAAAGGAAAGGTTCTCACTACCCACCATGCCACCAACACCACAGGGAGCAAATTAATTACTCTTATCACACAGCACGCCCATATTGGAAACCTGAATCACCCTGGAATTTTGGAGATAATTGAAAACTGGCTGGAAGCTGAAAACTTTGGTCTCACTGATGAAGAGGAACAAGAGCAAGTGACACATACTGAAGAAGCTCCACCATACAACCAACTGCCAGCAGAGGAAACACGCTACGCTCTTTCCACTGATGGTTCCTGTCGCATCATAGGGATGAACTGAAAATGGAAAGCAGCCATATGGAGCCCCACTTGACAGGCTACACAAGCTACCAAAGGAGAAGGTGGATCAAGTCAACTTGCTGAACTCAAGGCCATTCAACAGGCCCTGGACATTGCTGAGAGAGAGAAGTGGTCTAGAAGGTCTAGAAAGTCTACCTTTATACTGATTCGTGGATGATCACCAATGGTTTGTGGGGCTGGCTGGAAAAGTGGAAAAAGGCAACTGGCAGTGTAGAGGAATGCCAGTCCGGGCTGCTGATGAATGGAAGGACATTGCCAGTCGGGTAGAGAAGCTACCTGTAAAGGTCCGCCATGTAGATGCCCATGTCCCCAAGAGTCAGGCTAATGAGGATCACTGAAACAATGAGCAGGTAGATCAGGCAGCAAAGATAGAGGTGTCAAAGATAAACTTAGACTGGAACACAAGGGAGAGTTATTCCGAGCTCAATGGGCCCATGATGCCTCAGGCCATCACGGTAGAAATGCCACCTATAAGTAGGCACAAGACCAAGGGGTGGATTTAACCATGGACAGTATTTCTTAGGTTATCCACGACTGTAAGATGTGTGCTGCCATCAAACAGGCCAAGCGAGTGAAGCCCCTATGGTATGGTGGGCAGTGGTCCAAGTACAAGAATGGGGAGGCCTGGCAGATTGACTACATCACAGTGCCCCAGACACGCCAAGGCAAGCAGTATGTGCTGACCATGGTGAAAGCCACCACAGGATGGTTGGAAACCTACCCTGTCCCTCACACTACTCCCCAGAACACCATCCTGGTACTTGAAAAGCAAATCCTGGGGAGACATGGTACCCCTGAGAGAACTGAGTTGGACAATGGAACCCATTTCAAGAACAGCCTTATAAACACCTGGGCCAGGGAACATGGTATTGAATGGGTAGATCACATCGCCTATCATGCACCAGCTCCCGGGAAAGTTGAACAGTGGAATGGACTAATTAAGACTGACCTGAAGGCATTTGGCAGGGGAACCTTCAGAAACTGGGAACTGAACTTAGCAAGAGCCACCTTGGATGGTCAATACCTGAGGGTCCATCAATCAAGTTGGTCCTGCCCAGTGTGAAACCTTGCACATAGGGGATGGAGATAAAGTCCCTGTGGTACATATGAAAGGTATTTTAGGAAAGACTGTTTGGGTCAATCCCACCGCAGGCAAAGACAAATGCAACAGTGGTGGTATTGGTTTTGCTCAAGGACCTGGTAACACTTGGTGGGTAATGCAGAAAGATGGAGAAGCCTGTTGTGTACCACACTGGGAAATCCAGTCGTAAGTGACAACTGTGCTTAAGATTTCATTGCGTAGAATTAGTTTATTTGTTTGGGTATGATACAGATAGCAATAGAATAAGGGGTAAATAATGTCTTAAGTTGGAAATGGGTGTGTGTATTCTGTTCCTGTCTGTGGAAAAGTTCTCTGCTGTTCATTGGGAAGTTTACTTTCTCTCTTCCACAACCCATCCTCCCTCCAGGAGACAGCTTCCGTTCATGGGCCATTGAGTCTCACCACACAACTGAAAAAATTTTATCATCCAGATGTAAGAAGCTCTGCCCAGAGGGAGGAGCCAAGCATTCCTATCTGGATAGAATCAGCGATCTAGAAGACCACAGTCAGCCTTTCCCCACTGGATTCCCAGAGGAGCAGCTTTCTTCTCCCCTGCAATCCCAGAGAAAGACCAGGCCCATCTCCAGCAGCCCTGGACCTTCAGAGGAACACTCCACCTTTCTCCAGGATCCCTGCTCCACCAGTACCACACCTGGCACTGCAGGAGGGCTGAGCCACCATGGGATGGGACTGCTGCCACCACCCTGACCCACAGGGTGTCAGGTTGTATTCTGACTCTGTCCACACTTTATTTCTTTGTACTATTCCATTTGTATTTTTTTTTAGTTTTCTTAGTAAAGAACTGTCATTCCTGTTCCCATATCCTTCTCTGAGAGCCTTCTACTTTCAAAATTATAACATTTCAGAGGTAGGAGGTTTATATTTTCCATTTCAGGGGAGGCTCCTGCCTTCCTTATCAGACACCTGGCTGTTCCAACCAAGACAGGCATCCAGCACTGAAACACAAGGCGAGGGAGAAGAGCACTGGGGCCCATGGAGTAAGCCCAAAAGAGCATTTCCCCATCTCTCCCCGAGCCCCCACTCTCCTCCAGCTCCACCACACACCTCAACACCACAACTGTGCCACTGCAGTGCTCCTGCTCTGCTCTCACCTCACCAAGGATGTCCCAAGAAGGGACAAGCCACTGCAGTCCACATCGCGGAAGAAGGAAAAGGACAAGATGGAGCCATCCCTGCCCAAAGTCAAGCACCAGCTCCCTGCCCCCCCAGCCCATGGGACACCCCAGTCCCAAGGCTCCCTTGGTGAGAGGACTGGGGAAATAAACAAGGGCAACAGTGCAGGGTCACTTTTCCCAAAGGGCACAGCCACTCGCCCCCAGGCTTTCCCGAGCACAGAATGTACCACCGGCACCCACCATGATGCCACAGCCAAGGCAGCCGTCAGGAACAAGCACCCAGACCTGCCAAGGATGGCTACACACGGTGAACAAACACTGACAGGCACTCAGAGACACCCAGTGATGAGCATTTTGGGAAAGGGAGCACCTTATCCCTGGGGGACTGGGGGGCTGGGGACAGAGAGTGTCCTGGAGGAGTCGGTCCTCAGGGCTGGGGGGCAGCAGGGCTGCCCAGCACCTCACTGACACCATCGTAGGTGGGGGGCTGCCAAACAGCTGTGCCCCAGGAGGGACCCTGTGCCCCAGGAGGCACCCTGCCCCTTCCCAGAGCAGGGCCAGGTGTCCCCACCATGTCCCAGCATGGTGCCAGCGCATGACGGGCAGATGTGGCCATTCCCAGGAGGGACGGTGAGTGCGATAAGAGCAGGTGATGGGGCTGAGGAGCCCCTGTGCCCACAGCTTGGGACAGTCCCCACATGTCAGCGGCAGGCAGGGCCACTCCAAGGTCCCCGGCAGTCCGGACACTATAAGAGGGGTGAGCGGCCCCATTGCGGCACCTTTGCTCCGCACAACCATGCTGGGAGCCGTCTGTCTCGTCGTGCTGCTGGGCTACGGTAGGTGCAGGGGATGGGCAAGGGTCAGCGCAGGGGGGACAGGCAGCCTCTGATGTCCCTTTGCCCGCTGTCCCACAGCCTACGGATGCGGTCAGCCGGCCGTGCCACCACAGCTGAGCTCCCGCGTGGTGGGCGGTGAAGACGCTGTAGCCCACAGCTGGCCATGGCAGGTGAGGGGGCACAGGGACAGGCATGGGCATGAGGATGGGGACAGGGATGGGGACATTCTGCTCTGACCCTGTGCCTCTGCCCTCGCAGATCTCGCTGCAGTACAGCCGCTCTGGGTCCTGGTACCACACCTGTGGTGGGACCCTCATTGCCCCCCAGTGGGTGCTGACAGCTGCCCACTGCATCAGGTGGGTGTTGGGATGCTGGGGGGCATCTGTACCTGCAGGATGAGTTATCTGTGGGGACTGACACCCCTTCTCTCCCTGGCAGCTCTTCCATGACCTACCGCGTCGTGTTGGGCAAGCAGGACATGTCAGAGGATGATGAGCCCGGTTCTGTGGCCGTGGGTGTGGAAAAGATGATCGTCCATGAGGACTGGGACTCTTACCTCATCATGTACGGGATGGGGTGCATCAGGGTGGTGGTCCCTTGACCCCATGGCCATGGAACCTGTTCTCATGGCCAGGGACCATGTCTCGTGTCTCCTTGCAGCAACGACATTGCCCTGGTCAAGCTGGCAGAGGAGGTACAGGAGACTGACACCATCCGTGCTTCCTGCCTGCCAGCTGCTGACAAGGTCCTTCCCAACAACTACCCCTGCTATGTCACCGGCTGGGGACGCATCAGGAGTAAGTGGGGTGTCCCCGGGGGGGTCTCCAGGAAGGGGATGCGGGCACAGGGTGTGAGGTACGAGCTTTGGCTCTCATTGCAGCCAACGGGCCCCTGGCTGACATACTGCAGCAGGCTCTGCTGCCCGTGGTGGATTATGAGACCTGCTCCAAGTGGGACTGGTGGGGCGACCTTGTGCTTGAGACCATGGTGTGTGCTGGCGGTGACGGCGTCGTCTCTGGATGCAACGTGAGTGTGGGCACTGCACATGGTGGGTGCCCAAATGATGTGGAACCCTGGGCACAGGGAGGAGAGGGGATGGAGCCATGGTGGTGCATGGCCAGGAGGGATGAGGGGAGTGTTGGCAGGGTGCCCAGGAGCAGTGGCCCACACTGTCTCTCCATACAGGGCGATTCTGGAGGCCCCCTGAACTGCCAGCGCGATGATGGGGTCTGGGAGGTCGAGGGCATCGTCAGCTTCGGCTCCAGCCGGAGCTGCAACTTGAAAAGGAAGCCGACAGTCTTCACCCGGGTGTCTGCCTACATCGACTGGATCAACGAGGTGGGTGCCCCTTCCTCTGCCCCCACACAGGGGCTGTTCTTGCCCCACTGAGGGTCTTACCGTGACCTCCCTTTGTCTTTTTGACAGAAAATGAGCACAAACTGAGGACGCGGCATTGTGGAGATACCACTATTGACCAAGATAAAAGCAAAAATGCTGAGCTGGTCTTGCTGGTTTTTGGGAGAGGGAGATGTGGTGGGGCTGGGGACACACATCCAGGGCTGGGTCTGCTGATGCCAAGGTCCTGCTTGTGTGCTGGCAAAGGTGTCCCTGTTGTGCGGTGGGGCTGGGCAGGACTCTGGGGAGGCTGTCGGGCACATCTTGTGCATTGTGTCCCATCCTCAGAGGGGCTTTGGTGGACGGAGGAGCCCTGGACAAGGCCCCACAGTGCCACAAGCCTCTCTGCTGGGGCATCAGCCCTGCCCCAGCCAGGCACGGGCACCCCCACAGTGTGTGACACCCCAATAGCCAGTGTCCCCCTGCCCAGGAGGTGGTGAAGGGTTGTGATCCCTCTGGGTGAGGAACCTTCTTCTAACATCCAGTCTGTCCTTGGCCACAGCTCCAGCCGTTCCCTCGGGTCCTGTCCCTCGTCACAGAGAGCACAGAGCAGAGCTGCCCCTCGGGTGGAGCTGCAGCCTCCACTGAGCTCTGACCTCAGCTTCCTCCAGCTGAACAAACCGACTGACTTCAGCCTCAACTACTTTTAATCTCTATGGCTGCATAGAGTTTGACAAATATTTGTTATGCTTCCATGTTGTCAATTATTGTTATATTCTTTTCATACAATTTATAACTGACACAGTAAATCTACAGGTTAACCTAAAGAAGCGTAAGCTTTATTTTTATTAAATGTCTAACATCTTATTTACACTCTATAGCGTGTGTCCATTATGAAGTATTTAACAATATGGGAGAATAAGGGGAAGTTTAAAAGACCACAATAAAACTTCGCCGCCAAGTTCATAACTTTTACTTCACTGTTGAAATAGAAGTACTCATACAATCACTTACAGAAAAATTTGTCATGGTTTGACGCTGGCACAATGCCAGTGCCCCTATGAAAATATATTCTCCCTAGTGGCTGCCGTGAGATGTGACCAGGAATAGAGCAAAGCAGGCTCCCACTTAGGAATAAAGGGCAAAAAAACTTTAGTAACTACAATATGTAAAAAGGAACAGACACAGAACTCAGAATGCAAACATTCTAAACCATTCCTCCTCCTTCCCCCAGTTTCCACCACAACATGAAATAAGACCTTAGATGTTCAATCCAGTCACCACCCCTCAGATAATCAACTTTCAGTTCATCAAGGAGAGAGGAGTCCCTCCTGTACCGTGGGCTTCCCCCGGAAACACAGTTGAAACCTCTTGTGTTTCCATGTTCTCTTGGCTCCAAGCCATTGCCTCCCACTAAACGCAGCCTCTGTGTCACAGGAAAAATGAGTCTGTCCATGGCTATACAAGAAAAGTGTCCAGCCAAAGGCCACTCCATCATCTCCTCCCTCCTAGGATTCTTCTCAACTCCTTCTGACATCTTCTGCTCGCACAAACTTTCACCACACTTGCTCATTTCCTCCTGTTTCATCTCTCTCTCTCTTCTCATCCAGATCCAGGAGGAGCACTGTTTGTAAGGTTTCCATTATCCCACAAAAGGGTTAAAATCTTGGGCTCTGCCTGCCCAGAACTCCCACGGCTGACGGGCACCTTCTCGGCCCGCACCCCCTCTTCTTCTTCTTCTCGGCCAGCCATGCTGCCACCACATGAGAACAAACTCCAAGGTAGCACAGGCACCGGCTCTCCCTCTCTCTCTCTGTCCCCCAAGGGGGTGCCCAATGCCTCTCAGGGCTCCTCCACCCTTCCATCCTGCAAGGCCTTCACCCCCCTTCTCTGTCCAGGGCTCCGGCCTACCTCACCCAGGCCGCATGGCTTCCCCTCCGCCACACAGCCCGGCAGGGGAGGTCCCACCTCTTTCATGGAGCAGAACTAAGAGAGTTCCCTGCGACTTCTCTGCCTTTTAACCCCCTGTGTTCTCAGAGCCGGTCCATGTCTTCAGGGGCCACACCAGCTGCCAATATTCAAATCTGACCACTGATTGGTTTTGACCACAACTTCCCAAAAAACTCACTTCCTTCTCAACCCAGGACAAAATTACATGTTCAAAGTGATCTTTGACCCACTCCTGGGAATGAGAGCTCAGGACACCCAGGGACCCATGAACAAACTCCCCTCACACTGAGCAGCACCCTCATGCTGATGGCACAGAGCTCAGGGAAGCACTGCCCTGACACATGGTGCCAGTCCACATCCTGGGCACCCCTCAGGGGCATTGTCTTAGGTTGGAAACGGGTGTGTGTATTCTATTCCCATCTGTGGAACATTCTCTTCTGTTACATGGGAAGTCTCTTCCGTAGCCACTCCTCCCTCCGTGGAGATAGCTTCCGTTCATGGGCCACTGAGTCTCACCACATGACTTATAAAATTGCATCATCCCCCAGTGAGGAGCTCTGCCCAGAGGGAGGAGCCAAGCATTCCTATCTGGATAGAATCAGCGATCTGGAAGACCACAGTCAGCCTTTCCCCACTGGATTCCCAGAGGAGCAGCTTTCTTCTCCACTGCAATCCCAGAGAAAGACCAGGCCCATCTCCAGCAGCCCTGGACCTTCAGAGGAAAACTCCACCCTTCTCCAGGATCCCTGCTCCACCAGTACCACACCTGGCACTGCAGGAGGGCTGAGCCACCATGGCATGGGACTGCTGCCATCACCCTGACCCACAGGGTGTCAGGTTGTATTCTGACTCTGTCCACACTTTATTTCTTTGTACTATTCCATTTGTATTTTTTTTTAGTTTTCTTAGTAAAGAACTGTCATTCCTGTTCCCATATCCTTCTCTGAGAGCTTTCTACTTTCAAAATTATAACATTTCAGAGGTAAGAGGTTTATATTTTCCATTTGAGGGGAGGCTCCTGCCTTCCTTATCAGACAACTGGCTGTTCCAACCAAGACAGGCATCCAGCACTGAAACACAAGGCGAGGGAGAAGAGCACTGGGGCCCATGGAGTAAGCCCAAAAGAGCATTTCCCCATCTCTCCCTGAGCCCCCACTCTCCTCCAGCTCCACCACACACCCCAACACCACAACTGTGCCACTGCAGTGCTCCTGCTCTGCTCTCCCCTCACCAAGGATGTCCCAAGAAGGGACAAGCCACTGCAGTCCACATCGCGGAAGAAGGAAAAGGACAAGATGGAGCCATCTCTGCCCAAAGTCAAGCACCAGCTCCCTGCCCCCCCAGCCCATGGGACACCCCAGTCCCAAGGCTCCCTTGGTGAGAGGACTGGGGAAATAAACAAGGGGAAGCATTAGTGATGTAGAGAAATGGGGAGGATTGATTTGTTGACCAGAATCCAATTTTTCTGCAGGATATGAATGCTTATATACTATTTCAGGGAGAACACTAATAATGTGTGCAATGATTAGTTTAAAATCACATACACAAACTGATACGTATAGCACCACCTCTTTCTTGCAGAGTTGAATGGCTATTTTCTTTTTTCGGTAAACTCGTCTGATTGAATCTTCTTGCAATCTAGGTCTAATTTTCAAAGCTCCCTTTGCTTTTGTCAACGTATCCTGTTATAAAATCTCTTATGTTAACTAGATCTGAAAGCCATCTTAACATCCCAATATCTCCCCTCTTCCTTTCTGCAGCAGCGGCTGGCTCAGAGAAAGTCCCAGCAAGCTGCAGCCAGCACCACTGGCAGCACTGGGGCACTCTCCTAGTCCACACACGTGGGGAGGGCGCCTAAGGCTTTTCAGCCTTGCAGGACAAAGCTCAGCGACGGAGGAGAGAGGCTGCTACCCAACTGGAAGGAGAGACTCGAACTCCAGCAGTGGTGCGAATTGCAATTTACTAACTCCAACCACTCCAGCTGCTGAAGACCCCTAACTGGGCTCTGACAAGGGTTTTTAAAGGGAGGAGGTTACAAGGGAGTGGCTTGGTCTTCAGCCAATTAGAAACTAACTTGGAGTGGGGTGAGGGTGATAGGCATTGCAAGGTAACCAATAGAGATGAACATGGGGCGGGGCCCTGGCTCCGGAGCCAATCACTTGATGCCCAGGCTAGAAAGTTCTGGAGAGAAGGGTTGGGATGCTGAGTGATTGACAGGGCACCAGGGCGAGATTAAAAAGAGGATACATGTGTTGTCAGGGGGAGCAGGGAGGAGAAAATTTAATTGACTGGGTGAGTGAGGGGAGAGAGAACCAGGGCAGAACCATTACAAATATTAGGGTACATGGAATAACCCAATACACTAACTGAAACTTTCAGAACACAATACAACACCTTTCAACCAAAAACACTCCTTTAAGGACCTTATTAATTATTCTCTGCACACATTGAAAGGTGTCATGATTAATAATATTATCAAAATTATCATATACATACCTCTCTTAAAAATAATTTTTTTGTTAAAAAACTCTAGCCACTAAACAGTTCAGGTTTGATCTTTATAAACTAAAACATTCCTGATGGCAGCTGCATTAATAGATTTAGAAAGGCTGCCAGAAGTGTAATTGTACCAAAAGTTTTGATTCTTATACACAGGGTGATAGGGAAAGACATTTTTAGACTGATTCCTTCCTGTGTATTTGAAATTAACCCAAAAATCCAATTTTCACAGAACCCGGAAACTCTAATTCTTGCAGTTCCAAGGGTGTTTCAGCAAGGTAAGGGGTCAAGTTTGATATGATTTGATTTACCATGAAAAAAAAAATAGTGTAAATTTCTGGAGGAGCTCTATTCACCCTGTGAAAAATGCCAATCACTTGTTTTAAAACGCCAGAAGTTTAATAGTAATAAAATGGTTATAAAAATAGCAATATAATAAGGGTAATAAAAAATTGGACAATTAGGATTTAGGACGATACGAGACAATAAAAACAAATAGTTACGGACAGTCTGGGTACCTCTTTGTGGGCAAAATAAGCCCGAAAAAGGACCCACGTTAAGAGAAGATTAACCCTTAAAAGCAATAGCCTGTTGCTTATTCATACAGCTCATCCATGATGCATAAATCCATTCAAAGAGAGGATTCTGTCTGGTCATCATCAACTTCTTCCCCTTAATCTTGACGGCATCTTCAGGGCTGAGTGAGGTGGGA